TTTTTTTTTTTTTTTTTTTTTTTTTTTTTTTTTTTTTTTTTCCAGTTAAAAGGCTTCTTAGTTTATATTTGTGGGGGAAAAAAACTCCTAAATTAAATTTTTAAAAATTTACATAATATTCTTAAATTTTCAAAAATATTTTTAAAAGGGTTTTGAAAATTTTCTTATAAAATTTTCAAAATAGTATTAACATATTTAATCTTTATTTTATTTATTTTTTATCATTAATATATATGAACGAACACATCTATTAATATTTGAGTATTACTGGTAAAAAAAAAAAAAGAATATTAATGTAATTTTTGGAAGTTTAGTTTTTTTAATTTAAAGGAAAATGTTTAAAGATATTTTAAGTTTTTAAAAAAACTAAAGATACTAAAGAATTTTTTTAAAAGTTATTTTTGAAACAAAATATTAATTATTTATATCTAAAATTGAGATATTTTTAAATCTTTTTAAAATTTAAAGGTATTTTTTAACAATTATTTCTAAAATTTAATAATATTGTTGAATTTTTTGAAAAATTCATTGGTAGTATAAGACAAAATACTAAATTCGATTATATATATATATATATATATATATATTGAAAGATGTCACATTCATACACTAGTAGTGTCAAAAAAACATGAAACATATAGACATGCAAACATTGATTGCCTTTCAGCGTGTATTCAATTCTCAAGTTTTTTTTTTTGACCATTTCAAGGTATATATGATCAATTCCTTTTCAAAAAATAATAATTACGAATGACCAACACGCAATCCGTACAGGCAATGGCAAGCTTAATGGTGGAGTCCACCACCCAAATGCTGGACAGGTGGGCCCACCTCGTACTCTCCGGCCATCCACAAATCGAAGTCGAAAATGAAATCACTTCCACCGCCGGCGAAATCATCGCCAAAACCAGCTTCGGAATCGACCATATAAGCGGCCGACAAGTCTTCCACAAACTCAGGAATCTCCAGATGACACTCTTTAAAACCAACCGTCTTGTCGGAGTTCCGTTCGCCGGGATTTTGAACGCCGGCAAGGCCCGAGAGGCCAAACGCCTTGGGGAAGAGATCGACGAGCTGTTTCGGGAGGTGATTACGGCTAGGAGAGAGAATCAGTCGGCGACGGCGGCGGCGGAAGTGGTGCTGCAGAATGATCTTTTGAGCTTGCTTTTGAAAGAGAGTGGCGGAGAGGGGAAGTTGAGGAGGTGGTTGAGTACGGCGGAGCTGATTGATGAGTGTAAGACGTTTTTCTTTGGTGGGCATGAAACGACGGCGTTGGCTTTGACGTGGACTTTGCTGCTTTTGGGTATTCATACGGAGTGGCAAATTCAGCTGAGAGATGAGATTAAGGAAGTTCTTGGTGATAAAGAGAGTGACTTTGATTTCACTAAGCTTTCTCAGCTCAAAAAGGTAAAAAAAATTAAACCACGTTTTCATTGATCATAAAAGACATTAAAAAATCTGACAATAAACAAAATGCAGATGGGATGGGTAATGAGCGAGGTTTTACGTCTATACCCGTCCGCACCCAACGTGCAAAGGCAAGCTAGAAGAGACATTACAGTAAACGGACTGACGATCCCGAACGGCACAAACATGTGGATAGATGTGGTGGCCATGCATCACGACGAGGCCCTTTGGGGCGAGCAGGTGAACGAGTTTCGACCAGAGAGATTTGAACACGACGAGGTAGCTGGGGGGTGCAGCCACAAGATGGGGTATTTGCCGTTTGGGTTTGGAGGAAGAATGTGCGTTGGAAGGCACTTGACGTTCATGGAGTATAAGATTGTGTTGACGCTAATTTTGTGTAGGTTTTCTTTCACATTGTCTCCTGATTACTGCCATTCGCCGTGCATTATGCTCTCGCTCCGGCCAGCGCATGGTCTACCTCTCATTTTTCGATTACTGGAAAACTAATTTATAAGGGAATAGGTTGTTATAATGGACAAGGTAATGAGAAAGAGCTTGTAAACGGCATGTTCGGTAGGCACTGGCAACCGCAGTAGTCTAAAGCAAGTTATCTATGGCGGTATATTAAACATCCGATCATGCTTGTCTAAAACATATTATCCATTCAACATGCTTAATGTTATGAGACGTTTCTAATTTTCTAATTTTGTGTAACAATTTTAAATACAAGACTGCAATTCCAAACCCCTAAAGACCATTTCATACTTTTCCCTCACGACCTTATAATATATATACACACAACAAAATAATGGATTATTATAGAACTAATATTAAAAGGTCAAAAAAATTATAAAAATTTTTAAAAATAGAACCATCTGATTTGATTTGTTCTCAATAGACCGCAACATTAAAATAACAGGGCCATAACAAAATTGGGCGTTAGTAAAACGAGTTTAAAGATAACAAAACTGAAATAGTCTACAGCAAAGAGTTCAGTCTCTTAACAAATTCAGTAGTAAAACAACAAAAAAAGAGTAGACAGAGAGAAACTTTGAATAAATGAACACTAGTGTAGTGATCTCACTTCTTCTTCTCACCACCTCCACCAGCCCTGCAAAAATACAACATATCCAGAAATGGAATCAGAATGCTAATCATAATACTTATGAATTATGACTTGAACCATAACCAGATGTGAATCATTCGATTTTGTTACAAACAAAACATGATTCAGACCCCCATGTTTATGTAAACAGCAGCTTTGCCTTGTTAAAAGGACAGATTGGATTACCTCATCTTTCTTAGCACACTGGACATCTCCTCACGCTTCTTTTTGGCCCTCTTGTGAGTTCCAAGCTTTCTTTTAGCTACCTTCAGAGCACGCTTGTCTTTACCGACTTTAAGAAGCTCAGTGATTCTCTTTTCATATGGGGCGAAACCAGCAACTTCCCGGATCAAGCTCCGGACAAAAAGAACCCTTTTGCTTGATTTCTATATTAATAGATAAAAAACGGTAACATGAGAACCCAATCTCACATTTAGTGACAAACTAGGGTGATAGATGAACAATGTAACAGGACTTTTTAAGCATGATGTTAAAAGTGTGTAACTACATATTAGAATTGGTCCAATAAAATGAAATAAAATAAGCTCATTCCTCAAGCAACTAACTATCATCCCTGGCAAAACTTGTTTAAACAGAGAAAACCCTACGCCTTTCATTTCCCCATTAAAGGAAATTCCAAAACATCTAGTTATGTGGTGATTGACTTACTCCTTTGCGATCAGAGGGCCGTGGAGCCAACTCCTTCTTGGTGACTATGTGGCCCTTGTTCAGCCCAACAAAAAGGCCTGTATTCGGTTGTTTTGGAGCCATTACCTGCTTCAATAAAAATCAATCAGTTTGCTCTATAAAAATTAAGCTTAAATGCAAAATTCAAACGCTGCAAGACTCTAAAAGAGTTGGTCTTAAAGTAAGCAAAGACAGACAAGAACCATGTAACGTTCCAGCCACATCAAAATTTATTTTACTAAGCACGTTCAAAGTGCAAAAATTCTCAGTTTAAGGGATCCAAGCAGGATCTAGTTTCCTGAGTAGAAAAGTAAATCCACAACGGAATACGTTCAAATCATTACGGTGCCTACAGATATCGTGAGCTAATTAACGACTAGGGATCAAGCTTCAAATTAGAGAATACGTTAACAACTCACTAAACGTATATCATTAACAAAACAATTCAATACAGAACAATTGCTTGTCTAAGAACTTAGCAAACACAGATAAACTCAACTTCGTACGCAAAAACAAACTATCGATATCGAGCTCCAAAAATTGATCCACAGGACTAAGATCTATTCCCTTATCCCGGCGCCCACAGAAGGAATAATGTCGAAGGAACCCGAATTGGTAAGATGCAAAGCTAGGGTTTCTTACCTGTTCAATGAGTGGAGACGTCCTAAGCCGGAGGAATGAAAAATTAGGGTTTAAGATTTAGAGGTGTTTTTATATCGTGTGAATAATTGTTAATGGGCCGGACTTTCATTTGGGCTGTATTATTTACATAAATTATGTAAAATGTGAAAATGTTTTATTTACATAAGTTACTCTTTTTATAAAAAAAAAAAAATTATGCCTTTTTGTAAGCTTATTATTATTATTATTAAAAACACTCGTATTTGTTTACATTTTTATACATAAATTTATCTAATTTGCTCTACACTCATATGTTAATATCAAATTACTATAAACAACGACTATGTTCAAATTTGTACTAACACTACTATGACCAATTGACAACTATCGAGTACTGTTTGTGATGTCCCACGTTGGTTGGGGTGTAGGACAAAACACCCCTTTGTAAGAGTGTGGAAACTTTTCCCTTGCAGACGCGTTTTTAAGCCTTGAAGGAAAGCCCGAAAGGGAAAACTCAAAAAGAACATTATCTCCTAGCGGTGGATCGGGATCGTTACAAATGGTATTAGAGCGAGACACCGGACGATGTGTCAGCCTTCTCGCTATTCATGGAGGGGGATAGACACGAGGCGGTGTGCCAGTAAGGATGCTAGCCCCAAAGGGGGTGGATTTAGGAGGTCCCACGTTGATTAGAAAAAGGAACGAGTGCCAACGAGGACACTGGGCCTTGAAGAGGGGTGGATTGTGATGTCCCACATTGGTTGGGGAGGAGAGCAAAACAAAAGGGTGTGGAAACCTTCCCCTAGTATACGTGTTTTAAAGCCTCGAGGGGAAGCTCGAAAGGAAAAGCCCGAAGAGGACAATATCTACTTGCAAAGAATCAGGTGTTAAGCACTATCATAAGCCCTATTCTCTAGAACCAAGACCTATTCTTAAGGTCTTAGCTAATATTTGAAAGTCTGTTAGTTTATATTTAGGTTTAGCAGAAGGCTATATAATGTCATTCTTTCTGCTGTTGAAATCATCAAGCTTTGTGTGCAATATTGTATGCCTTGAGTAAATTTGGTGTTGTGAGTACATTTGTTCCGCTTTCGGCGCACAACAAGTGGTATCAGAGCCAAGTTGTGGTATTTTGGGGTATTGTGAAAGCTTGGGCCTCATCGACCATTAGACGTGCTCACAATCGTGTTTATTCTCTTGAAAATCAATTTTCAAGAATTGTGGTTTTGAGTTTCATCCAGATTAATTATTGCAAATGGCAGAACCATCACGACGTGGATCGAGAGTGTGGAGTTCCAATCTCGAAGTAGAGAAATTTGATGGAACCAATAATTTTGGTGTTTGGCGAGGCGAAGTTAGCGATTTGTTGGTCATGCAAGACCTCGATGTCTCTCTCCAAGAGGAAATGCCTGAAGACATGACAGAAGCAGAATGGACGAAATTAAATCGGCAAGCCTGTGGAATTATTCGATCCTGTCTTGGCAAGGATCAGAAATATCCATTTATGAAGGTTACCATGGCGAAAGAATTATGGGACAAGCTTGAAGCGAAATATATGAAGAAGAGTGTGGAAAATAAACTCTATTTGAAGAAGAAACTCTTCCGTTTTGATTACAAGGAAGGCATCTCAATGGCTGAGCATTTGGATGATTTTAACAAAATCATCACTGATTTGCTCAATCTTGATGTTAAGATTGATGACGAAGACAAGGCGTTGTTGTTATTAAACTCTTTGCCGGAATCCTACGAGTTTTTAGTAACGACCCTACTACATGGAATCACTAATATTGATTTTGAAGATGTTTCAAATGCCTTAATAAACAATGAGATGCGAAAGAAGGAAAAGGAGACGTATCAAAGCTCTAGCTCAAATGTTCTCACTGCTCATGGAAGGACTTCCAATTGGAAAAAGAACGAATGTGGAGAGTCTCGATTAAAGTCGAGAGGTAGATCTGATAATTGGAGAAAACTTGATAAAAATGAGTGTGCATATTGTCGACAGAAAGGCCATTGGAAAAAAGATTGTTCCATCTTAAAAGAGAAGGGGTCGAAGTCCAATGTGGTTAGAGATGACGACACTGATACAGATGATGCCTTGACAATCTCCCTATCAGTCAGCCAAACCAGTGAATGGATTCTTGATTCTGGGTGCTCCTATCATATGTGTCCCAACAAAGAGATGTTTTTGGACTTCAAAGAGTTCAATGGTGGAGTTGTCTATATGGGAAATGATAGTACTTGTAAGATAATGGGAATCGGCTCAGTACAAATCAAGATGTTTGATGGGGCTATACGAAAACTCAAAGATGTGAGGTATGTCCCTGACTTGAAGAAAAATTTGATTTCATTTGGCGTTTTGGATGCGAGTGGTTATTGCATCATTTTGGAAGGAGGGAATTTGAAAGTAGCTCGTGGAGCTTTGGTGGCAATTACAGGAACTAGAAGAGGTAGCATATACTACCTCAACGGAACCACAATAATTGGGCATGCTGCTGTGGCAAGTTCGAAAGAACAAGACATATCGAAATTATGGCACATGCGACTCGGGCATGCTGGTGAGAAGGCGCTTCAGACACTGGTGAAACAAGGAGTCCTTAAGGGTGCCACAACTGGAAGAATTGATTTCTGTGAACATTGTATATTTGGCAAACAAAAAAAATGTGAAGTTTGGTACAGCTATACACCAAACAAAGGGCATTTTGGATTATGTTCACACTGATGTATGGGGTCCCACAAAGAATGTCTCATTGGGAGGAAAGAGGTGGTTCGTCACCTTTATTGATGACTACTCGAAGAGAGTTTGGATGTATTCCATGAGCCACAAAAACGAGGTTCTCCAAATCTTCCTAGAGTGGAAGAAAATGGTAGAGAATCAGACGGACAGGAAAATCAAAAGGCTGAGATCAGACAACGGGGGAGAATATACTTGTGATCCATTCCTTAAAGTATGCCGAGATGAAGGGATCGTTCGACACTTCACTGTTCCTGGTAAGCCACAACAAAATGGAGTTGCTGAGAGAATGAACCAGACATTAATAGAGAAGGTTCGATGCATATTGTCTCAAGCAGGATTGAGTAAGGCATTTTGGGCTGAGGCTCTCAGTTATGCAGTTCACTTGGTGAATCGTTTACCTGTTTCTGGAAACGGTGGGAGAACTCCGCTTGAGGTATGGTCAGGTAGTCCTGTTAGTGATTATGATAAATTGCATGTGTTTGGGTGTCCTGCTTATTATCATGTGACAGACTCAAAGCTGGATCCTAGAGCAAAAAAAGCCAAGTTTATGGGCTTTAACAAAGGTGTGAAGGGCTATAGGTTATGATGTCCAGAAACAAGTAAGATTGTTAATAGTCGAGATGTGACATTCGATGAGTCTGGAATGTTTTTGCAGAAAATTGAAAATAATGACGAGGCATTGAAGCAGGTGGAGAAGGTGGTGTTCTCTCCTGATGTGGTTGCTCCTACTGAAGAACCTATTGACCAGGTAAATAATAACTTTGATGTCTTAGAACAGAAAGAGCAAAGTCTTGAGGAGCAAAGCCTTGTAAATGAAAGAGTGGAGGAACCTGAGTCAATCGCCAAGAATAGACCACGAAGGGTAATTCGAAAACCTGCAAGGTTTGATGATACGATAGCATATGCTTTCTCTTTGATTGATGGAGTTCCTAACAGTTACAAAGATGCTATTCAGAGCCCGGATAGCTTACACTGGCAAGAGGCTGTGAATCAGGAGATAGCATCATTGGAGATAAATCAAACTTGGGATTTGGTACAACTTCCAAAAGGTAAGAAGGAAATTGGTTGTAAATGGGTTTTTGCAAAAAGGAAGACCCTTTTGGTATACGTTATAAGGCTCGACTTGTGGCTAAAGGCTACGCACAAAAGGAAGGTATTGATTATAATGAAATTTTCTCACCTGTGGTAAAACATTCTTCGATTCGAATTTTGTTGGCTTTGGTTGCTCAATTTAATCTTGAGCTTGCACAACTCGATGTAAAAACTGTTTTTTTGCATGGAGATTTGGAAGAAGAAATATATATGACGCAACCAATTGGTTTTCGAGTAGTTGGACAGCAACATTTAGTATGCAGATTGAAGAAATCTTTGTATGGGCTGAAGCAATCCCCTCGCCAATGGTATAAAAGGTTTGATCATTTCATGGTAGAGCATATGTATACTCATAGTCAATTTGACCATTGTGTGTATTATCGATGTCTCGATGATGGATCGTTTATCTACTTGCTCTTATATGTTGATGATATGTTAATTGCTTCAAAGAGACAGGTGGAGATTGATAAACTCAAAGATGAGCTTTCTAAAACATTTGAAATGAAAGACTTAGGCAATGCAAAGAAAATACTTGGAATGGAGATAGAGTGAGATCGGAAAAAAGGTACAGTCTGGTTGACTCAGTCTCAATATCTACGCAAGGTATTGTCAAGATTTAGTTTGAATAATTCAACCAAACCTGTTAGTACTCCACTTGCTCCTCATTTCAAGCTTAGTGCTTCCATGTGTCCAAGTTCTGACGATGACAAAAGATATATGGAGAACATTCCTTATACAAATGCTGTTGGTGCGTTGATGTATGCTATGGTGTGTACTCGACCTGATCTTTCACACGCAGTAAGCATGGTGAGTCGTTATATGCATAATCCTGGTAAAGAGCATTGGCAGGCTGTAAAATGGATTCTTAGGTACATTCTTGGCACTATTGATGTTGGTATTAAGTTTCAAAAACAAGAAATGTTTAATCTTGACAATCGTGTAGCTGGTTTTGTGGATTCTGATTATGCTGGTGACTTGGATAAGCGACGATCTACCACGGGTTATTTATTTACTATGGCCGGTGGACCTGTGTGTTGGCGCTCAACATTGCAGTCTACTGTTGCATTGTCTACCACTGAAGCAGAGTATATGGCGGTAACGGAAGCTTTTAAAGAAGCTATTTGGATGTATGGTTTGATCAATGACTTGGGTATTTTGCAGGGACATATAGATGTATTTTGTGATAGCCAGAGCGCTATTTGCTTGTCAAAAAATCAAGTCCATCATGCTCGTACAAAACACATTGATGTCCGTTTTCACTTTATTCGAGAAATCATTAGCAAAGGGGATATTCGTTTACTAAAAATTGGAACTGCTGATAACCCTGCTGATATATTGACAAAGGTGGTTGCTCGTGAAAAGTTCTGCCATTGTTTGGATCTCATCAACGTCGGAAGGAAGAAGTAGTGTGTTGATGTGGTAGCAACCAAATTCGCTATCAACTTGGAAATCTTATGACAAGGTGGAGATTGTTAAGCACTGTCATAAGCCCTATTCTCTAGGACCAAGACCTATTCTTAAGGTCTTAGCTAATATTTGAAAGTCGGTTAGTTTATATTTAGGTTTAGCAGAAGGCTATATAATGTCATTCTTTCTGCTGTTGAAATCATCAAGCTTTGTGTGCAATATTGTATGCCTTGAGTAAATTTGGTGTTGTGAGTACATTTGTTCCGCTTCCGGCGCACAACATCAGGGTCGTTACAAATGGTATCAGAGCCAGACATCTCGTTGTTCTCCAAAGGGGGGTAGACACGTGTGTCAATAAGGACGCTGGCCCAAAAGGGGAGGTTTAGGGGACCCACATCGATTGGAGAAAGAAATGAGTGTTTGTGAGGACGTTGGGCCCCGAAGGGGGGTGGATTGTGATATCCCACATTGGTTAGGGAAGCCCCAAAAGGGATGGATTTAAGGGGTCCCACATCAATTGGAGAAAGGAACGAGTGTCAACGAGGATGCTGGCCCCAAAGGGAGTGAATTGTGATATCCCACATTGGCTGGGGAGGCCTTAAAGAGGGTGGATTTAGGGGGTCCCACATTGATTGGAGAAAGGAACGAGTGTCAGCGAGGACGCTGCCCCTGAAGAAGGGGTGAATTGTGATATCCCACATTGGTTGGGGAGGAGAACGAGGAGAACAAAACACCCTTTATAAGGGTGTGAAAACCTTCATCTAGCGGACGCGTTTTAAGGCCTTGAGAGGAAGCCCAAATGGAAAACCCTTTATAATTCGAGAGTATTTTAATCAAATTTATAACTCAAGAAAAAATTAGAAGATATTTCAACAATTATTATTAATATGATACGTAACCCGTTATCATTTTATTCCAGTAACATCAGTTTGAGATGACTCGTTCTTTTTTGCGCATCAACGATCACAACAACACACAAGTTCATCACTATCATCTCGTTTAGGCATACAAGATCCAGTGCCTCGATGTTGATGGAGGCAATCCAACTTACAGACATAATTCAGTTCATCTTTGGCACATGGACGAATGCAGCTCCACAAACCTTTCCCTTCAGCTGCCATGCCATGCCATGCAACGACCAGACATTAAATTTCATTAACAACATTTCATAAAAAAAAACAACAAAAAATGGATCAAAACAGCTTACTTGATGCAACGAAACAAGAACACAAGAACATGACTGCGATGAACACTGCAAAAAGCTTTGGAGTTGCCATTTGAATTGATATGCTTTCAGAACCCAATCCTCATGAATTTATAATGAAATTGTTTTTTTTTAACAACTGTATTATTAGTATAGTTTCTTTAAAGGGATTTATTTTAATTGTTTTTTTTTAGTAAATATCATCAACCTTCCTTCTTATATTCATTTTATTTTTCTTTCCATATATATATACATAATATTTTAGATTTAATCAGAATTTCAATTTAATTTCAAAAAATTTATGATGATATCAATTTTTTTTATTTAAAAATTTAAAAATTTAAAACTTGATTTATTTGTCAAATATATTAATAAGGTTCGGAAAAATATTTGGAAAAGTAAAGGGAGTCGGGCAGAATTGAAAGCTTTTTTGCTATCACAATCTATTTCATAGAAAAGATCGGAAATAATCTAAATCAATTTAGCTAATTTTTTTTTTAAATATATATATTTAAACATTTTTTTAATTTATTAAAAAAACATTATCACTAAAATATATATATTCAAATAAAAATAAACATTCTTTTATCAAATTGTTATTCCATAAATTTAAGGATGTTAAATTTCTTTCTTATTCCTGATTTTAAATATAATAGTTGTATGTTGAGTGGAAACACGCGCTGGAGGTTGCGCGTGGTTATAAGGAATGAGAATGAATAATTGGTTAAGTTGTAGGCCATAGTAGAAACAAGGAACAAATGAGAGTGCGACACGCGGGGGTAAAATCCAGCTCATCCTGGTGAACATCGTGGACGGCTCTGATTGGATTTCAAGTCTAGCCGTGGGAGGGTTACTTTCGGAAATTCATATTACAATGGAGGGAACAAAAAAGAATCAACGGTCATAAACGATTTAGCAACACGTGGTTGTGTGGATAGGTCACGTGACAAAACTGGGAATCGCAAAATTTCGTCTCCGAGTTCAAATTTTCCCAGTAATTTAACAGTTTTCTGGCTCTCCATTTCAATAATCCCAGCTACCATGTTCTTCCACCGATCAAATTTTCCCCTTTCAATGCACGCAATCTCCCAAATTCTTAAACTCTAATACAGGCGTTGACTTCCAGGTATAATCCGTCACTAGAAATCTTTAGATTTATATGCATTTCTTATTTGGCTTTCTATGAATAGCTCTTAGCTTCCCAGCATTGACTTGATTTCTCTGTCTCGATAGGTAACTTTTAGAAATCCAGCGATTAAAGAACCTTTTCAATCTTTGAAATCCTGTTTTTTCAGTTCAAAAATGTTCTGTGTATGATTCTGTTTCGCAAAAAATTCGAAACCCAGATCCTCGTTTGTCTTGATTTTTATTCCCGAATTAGTTTAGTTTCATGATCTTCAATGATTGGAAGCTACTGGAACGTTGATATGATGTTGGTTGCTGAATTGATTCGTTTTTTATTATAATATGTTTCTTGATACGTCTTACATTTACTAGGAACATCCGCATGATTCATCGTTCCTTTGAGGTTAGATCATAGGCATCAATGTCTATCATATGTGGCGTACCGATCCTTGAGTGTGTATGCTGTCTGGGATGTTCTCGTTGGGTCTGGAAACGTTGTCTGCACACAGCCGGTCATGACAGTGAAAATTGGGGCTTAGCCACTTCCGATGAGTTTGAGCCTATTCCCCGGGTTTGTAGATATATCCTAGCTGTGTATGAAGATGATATTCGAAAGCCCCTTTGGGAACCGGTGGGTGGTTATGGAATCAATCCAGATTTGTTACTTGTGAAGAAGACATACAAAGATACACGAGGGCGGGCTCCTCCATATATTTTATATCTTGATCATGATCATGGCGATATTGTTCTTGCTTTCAGGGGACTTAATATGGCAAAGGAGAGTGATTATGCTGTTTTATTAGACAATAAGCTGGGAAAGAAGAAATTTGATGGTGGATATGTTCACAATGGGCTTCTGAAGGCAGCTGGGTGGGTTTTGGACACTGAGAATGAAACTTTGAAGGATTTGGTGAAGAAGTATCCAGACTATACTTTGACGTTTGCTGGGCATTCTCTTGGCTCCGGAGTAGCAGCCATGTTAACTTTGGTAGTTGCACAGAATCTCGAAAAATTGGAAAATATTGATCGGAAGCGGATAAGGTGCTATGCTATTGCTCCTGCTAGATGCATGTCCCTGAATCTGGCTGTTAGATATGCAGATATCATCCACTCTGTTGTTCTTCAGGTAAACTGTGTATGTTCTTAATTTTTTATATTTTACAGAGCATTCTGATAAGTCCTAGGATTTGTTTGTTAATCTCTTCTATAACTACGAGGCTTCTTCATTACTGGGAAATCTCATATTGGTTAGAGAGGGAAATGAAACATTTCTTATAAGTGTGTGGAAACCTCTCCCTAGTAGACGCACTTTAAAATCTTGAAAGGAAGCCCGGAAGGGAAAGCCCAAAGAAGACAATATCTGCTAGTGGTGAGCTTGGACTATTAGAAATGGTATCAGAGTCAGACACTGGACGGTGTGCCAGCGAGGACGCTGGGCCCCCAAAGGGGTTGGATTATGAGATCCCACATTAGTTGGAGAGGGGAACGAAACATTCGTTATAAAGGTGTGGAAACCTCTCCCTAGTAGACGCGTTTTAAAACCTTGAGGAGAAATTGGGAAGGGAGAGCCCAAAGAGGACAATATCTGCTAGTGGTGGGCTTGAACAGTTAGTAATGGTATCAGAGCCCAGACACTGGGCAGTGTCTCAGCGAGGACGTTGGACTCTCAAAGGGGGTGGATTGTAAGATCCCACATCGGTCGGAGAGGGGAATGAAACATTCCTTATAAGGGTGTGGAAACCTCTCCCTAGCAGATGCATTTTAAAATCTTGAGGGAAAACCCAGAAGGAAAAATCCAAAGAGAATAATATTTGTTAGCGGTGGACGTGGACGTGGACTTGAGCTTTTGGCTGTTACATTATCATTTCTTGAAGTGTGCTCAATATGTGCGGAATTTATGCTTGCTAATTGAAATGTACCGGTGATTATTATTCTTCTGATCCAGGATGACTTCTTACCTAGGACAGCCACCCCCTTGGAAGACATTTTTAAGTCACTACTCTGGTATGGTTCATGATTCATGTCTCTCTATGGTGTTAATACTTTTTTAGGTTGTTGGTAAAGTAAATATTGCTGCAAACATAGAGAGCTCTATTCTTGCAGTGTGAACTGATTCTTATGTTAAAGATCATTGCATAGAAGTAACAACAGAAACTTTGCATTTTTTGTGAAAGTAAAAGATTGGAAATGGAAGCTTGGATGTATTCAGTATGATTATAAGTTTCTCAATAATCATTTGAAATTATCCCTTCCCCAACAATGAATATTACATAAATTGGTTCGTATTCCTTGTAGTTTGCCATGCCTTCTATGCCTGAGGTGCCTGCGGGATACGTGTGTATCAGAGGACCGGATGCTTAAAGATCCGAGGAGGCTTTATGCACCTGGTCGACTCTATCACATCGTCGAGCGAAAGCCCTTAAGGTAAAAAAGACATGTATTTTCCATATTAAGTTGGTTAATGTGGTGGAGAATTCTTACGTCCCTTCAAGTTGGTGAAATTTTGTTCCATGTTTCGTTCAAACAAGAAAACATACCAGTTAAGACTGTGCTTGTTATGTGGAAAGAATTTATTGTTTTATTACAAGCATGTATGTTCATAAAGTTGAGACACTGAGTTTATGTCCTTTGAAGCCTCTTTAACCATAGGCCCAAGCTCACCGTTAGTAAATATTGTCTTTTTTGGGCTTTCCCTTTCGGGATTCCCTTTAAGATTTTTAAAATGCGTCTATTAGAGAGAGGTTTCCACACCCTTATCAAGAATGTTTTGTTCCCCTCTCCAACTGACGTGGGATCTCATCATCCACCTCTCTTCGAGGTCCAGCGTCCTTGCTGGCACACTGCTTAGTGTCTACCCCATTTTGGGGCTCAGCGTCCTCGCTGGCACACTGCCCGGTGTCCACCCCCTTCAGGGCCTAGCGTCCTTGCTGACACATTGCCTGGTGTCCACCCCATTCAGGGCCTAGTGTCCTCGCTGGCACACTGATTGGTGTCCACCTCCCTTCAGGGCTCAACGTCCTTGTTAGCACACTGTCCGGTGTCAATCCCGATCCCACATCGGTTGGAGAGAGGAATGAAATTTTTTTTATAAGTGTGTGGAAACCTCTCCCTAACATATTCGTTTTAAAATCTTGAGGGAAATTCCAAAAGAAAAAATCCAAAAAAGACAATATCTACTCGCGATAGGCTTAGGATGTTACATTTTAATAGAAAGCCATGTTACATTTTTATTGAAAGGTTGGCTTTCTAGACCATTGAAACATGTCCTGCTCAAACATTGAATTCACCTGGTGTTTCTTGTTGAAAGATGCGGAAGGTTTCCACCTGTGGTGAAGACGGCTGTTCCAGTAGATGGGCGGTTTGAACACATAGTTCTTTCTTGTAATGCAACTTCTGACCATGCCATCATTTGGATAGAGAAAGAAGCCAAACAAGCCCTGGAAGTAAGTTTCATCATTCTACCAAGCCTTTTATGCCGACTGCTTCAAGTTTAATGGAAATTTGAAATACAACACAACCATTTGCTTCTGTCAACTTCAGTTAATGCATAAGGATGATAAAGCCCTGCAGATACCACCCCAACAAAAGATGGAGAGGCAAGAGACTTTAGCTAGAGAGCATAGCGAAGAGTATAAGGCTGCATTGCAACGTGCCGTGACGTTAGCAGTGCCACATGCCTACGCGCTTGCCCCATATGGGACCTTCGGCCAGACAGATGATGGGGAAGAAGAAGAAGAGTCACCAGGATCAAGTGGTGGAGGGTCATCGAGGAGGAAGAAAGAAACTTGGAATGAACTGATTGAACGTCTTTACGACAAGGATGATTCAAGAAGCGCAGTGCTGAAGAAATCAGTGAGTAGTATTTGATGTTGCATTGTGGCCATTCATATAAATATTTGTTGCAATACTTTTTGTATAATAATGTATACTTGTTATTTGTTACTCGCTACTAATAAATATTATCTGCTTTTGACTATTACATATCGTCATCAACCTTACAATTTTAAAACACATTTATTAGAGAGAGGTTTCCACACCTTTATAAATGTTTCACAATCCACTTTTTAGAGGCCAGCGTCCTTGTTGACACACTATCCAATGTCTAACTCATTACCATTTGTAACAGCCAAAATTCATTGCCAACAAATATCCGTTTTGCCATATTACATAAGAAATGCTTCGTTTCTCTATCTAACTGATGCAGGGTCTCATATTATATCAAAGTTGAGATGGCCGAGTTAGTCTAAAGCGCCAGATTAAGGTTCGAATCCGAACAAAGATAAAGATCTAAAAGTCTTGGGTATTTCTTTCCGTTTGTCTAAACAAAAGCTTCCCGTATACCACAAACCTCCACATTTTCTTCTTGCCTATCAATTTTCTTTCTTTCCTTCCAACCAAACAATTCCTCCCTCTCTCTCTCTCTTCTTATAAAACCCATTTCCCTTTCTTTCTCACGAACAACGTTTCAGGTTTTAGTTTCATATTTTTCAGTGACTGTCATGAAGAAATCAAAGCTTGTTTCTCGTCTCCGAAAATTACGTTCATCTTCTGGTAATTCTAATCACTCCATCTTTAAAAAAGAGTGTCAATATATGATTTTCGTTTATATAATGTCAGTAAGATATATATATGTATATATATATATATTTTTTTTTATGAGTATTAAGAGTACGCGGTAAAAAGTATTAATGATATTTTAAAATTTTAATGAATGTTTTTTAAATATATTACTAAAAAGTAAAATATATTTGGAGGGGTATTAATGATTTTTTTTCTTTTAAATTTTAAAGGTATAATTAAAATACAATTGAAACTTAAGAGAGTATTGTTTTAATATTAAAGTTTATAAATATAACTGAGATAAAATATAAAATTTAAAATTTATGAATATTTTTGTTAATTTAACCTTTATTTTATTATTTGTGTTGAATAGATGGTGGGGTACACATTAGGAGCCGTCCAATAGGCGTAGACGTGCGGGAGGAGTACGCAAACGCCTTCCGCACGGAATCATATCTAGATTTCTGGACACGTGTCGTGGCCTTAAAAGACGTAGCAGTGGAGTCCACAACAGCAAGCCGGCTGTCGTCTTACCGGCTATTCGCCGAACATCTACTGGACCCAAATGAGCCCACTGTCAAAAGAATCCTAAATTGGGCCCATCTACGGCCCAACTCCAAATCCCTTCTCTCAGACTATTTCTCCCACACAGCCAATGCCTCTCTATTATGTAGCCGTTTACTCAAAGACATAAACCATTTACGTCCAGAAATTGCCATCCAGTCCTTACAAAACCCAGAATTTAATTTCAAACCCCTCTCCATCCACAACCCATTTCCAGAAATAATCCAAAACGGATGCGCCAAATTGCTGAAACAGCTGGAGTTCAACCGCGACAAGGCTCGAACCAAGGTCAAGAGGGTTAGATATTTCCAGCACGGTTCAGCTGGGTTGTTAGTGGCTGTGACCGCGTCGCTTACTGTAATACTCGTGACTCATGGAATTGGTTTAGTGGTTGTTGCTGCTGCACCGTGTCTCGCTGGCCTTGTGGGTGCTGTGAAGTTAGCCAGGGTTAAGGAGGTGGCTCGAGTGCTGGATGTGGCTGCCAAAGCGACCTACACTTTGAATAGGGATTTCGACACGGTTGGTCGGCTGGTGGCTCGGTTGAATCAGGAGGTGGAGCACATGAGGGGGCTGATGAGGTTCTGGGTTGAGCGAGGGGAAGGTCGTGATGGACGGCATGGCGGCGTTGGGGAAGTAGCGCGCCAGTTGCAGCAATGCCGTCTCAATTTGGGGCAACACTTGGATGAACTTGAGGAGCTTTTGTATTTGTGTTTTATGACCATAAATCGAGCTAGAAATCTCGTGCTCAAACAGATTCTAGCTCGAGCCTAAGATGAAACTATTGTCTTTTTTGAATTTTCTCTTACAGATTTCTACTCAAAATTTTTAAAACGTGTATGTTAGAAAGAGATTTTTTTCCTATATAAAAGTCAATTTTATATATAAAAGTCAATCTTTTCCTATAAAGTTAAAATAAAAATATAATAAATTAATTGAGAGAAATCTTGAAGATGATATCACTAATTATATCAATAAGATGCATCTCTTTTTCAGTGACTAAAATTCTATGGTTAAGTCTGCTTTAATTGCAACAATTTTCGGTTTGGTGATCTCTTATAATTTTTTTGGTAAAACTCGTGTAAGTGAGAACAAAACATGTTCGAAAAACTCGTAAGGAATGTCGGAGTCATCAAGTGAGTTCATCGCTATTTAAAAAAAAATAATAAAACCGCTAAAAAGTCTTAAATGGTTAATTAATTAAAAGAAAATGGTAAGCTTATGTTTGTGATGGACTAAAATGGTAATCTAAGCTGAATAATATTTACAAAATTGTGATAATAATAAGATAATGTAAAATATAGTAAATAAAAAAATCACGAAAGAATCCGAAAAAGCAACGAATGTACACTTGGCGAAGTATGATTGGGCGAAAGATAACCAATTAAAAGTTGCGAATAAGCGTGGGAAAAAAAAAAAAAAAAAAAAAAAGTAGGGCAGCGCACGTGGCAAGGTTCGGGTAGCGTTTGGGGGTTATATTTGTAAGGACCCCACAAGGAGGGCCTAAGGTCCTCAGGTTAAGCATAGAATAAAAATTCTTGTACCCTAATTTAAATCATCTCATATTTCTCTTCTACTCCACTCTATCACATCATTCATCTCATACCAAAGTCAATTATACATTTTTCTTAATTTTTTTTCGTAATTAATTATTAAATTAACGGCTATGTCTCAAAATGTACTATAGGGGGATATGACTAGTTGTCAACTTCTCCCTACCCAAGGTTATATATGCTAAGTCGTTGTTATCTCTCTCTTGCTTGCTTATATAACGTCTCTTTCAAAAATCTCTCTTTCTAAAATCTCTCTCTACCCTCGTTTTCCAAAACCTTCTTTTAAAATCGAGGCTAGAGGCTCGATCATACGTCGCTTGGCCGTAGGCGACGCAAGTACAAATTGGCTTAGCTCACTTGTCGTTGGAAAGTGAGTGCCGCACAATCGCTAGTCCGCTGCCTTTAAAAGTGCGATTGTGTCAAGTGCTCGTCGTAACATATTTAAATTCGTAAGAAATTAGTCTCTATCTCTTTTTAATATTAAAAAATCTACTTAATTTTATGTTATTATAGTGTGGCTGATTTGCACGTTATGAGTAATGGGTCACCTTTATCGAAGGAGTCGGGTTATAACAATATAGCTAAGCTCGATAGATAACCTTAAATAATATTTTTTATTTATTAAAGTTTATGTTTGACTTTGATGTGTTGTTGAAAAGAAAATAAGAGTAGTTCTTTTGAAGAGCAAAATGCTCGGTTATTCTTCTTGGAATCAAGTTATTTGATACGAAATGAATTTAGTGATTTCTTTTAGTAACGAGTAAATGAGTTCACTACTAGCTTATAAGATACCGAGCTTTTATCTAAAAACATGTTTTTTTTTTTACCTAGTAAAAATACTTTTTAAAATATATGAAAAATATTTTAGCACGAACGCACATGATTTTCACGACATCGCTCGTAGAATAAGTGCTTTCACTTTTAACACCTTTTTACTCTTTATAAAAGCATTTATTTATAGAATAAATGCTTTCATTTTTATGGAAAAAACCTAATCACAAATTCATCTTTAAAAATTAAATTATAACTCTCAAATTGAAAAAATAATGGGTTAAGCCCAAATAAAGATATGAAAACCCGGAAGAGGAGTGGATTTGAGCCGTTCCAAATGGTATTAGAGCCAGACACTGAAATATGTGCCAATGAGGAGGCCCTTCCCCAAAGGGGTAGATACGAGACGGTGTGTCATTAAGGACGCTAGCCTCAAAGGGAGTGGATTTGGCGTGGTCACACATCTATTGGAGAAAGGAAAGAGTGTAGCGAGGACACTGAACTCCGAAGGGGGGTGGATCGTGATGTTGGTGGATTGTGATGTCCCACGGTGGTTGGGGAGGAGAACAGAGTGCCAGCAAGAACGCTGGACCCAAAAGAGGTGGATCTTGATGTCGATGGATTGTGATGTCCCACGATGTTTGGAGAGAAGAACAAAACAACTTTTAAGGAAAGAAAGAGGGCCACCAAGTATGCTCGGTGGATTGTGATGTGGATCCCTAAACCTAAAGAGGACAATATCTTGATTCTCTCTCTCTTATTGGTTAATTTTTTTCCTAAAATTTAAATAATTTTAAAGTTTAAACTTTTATTTAAAGAATAGAATTTTAGTTGGATTAAAATAAACCAATTATAATAATTATTTTATTATATGTGTTTCAACTATTAAAAACTTTGTAGTAAGATTTAAATTATTATTTTTTGTTTAATAATTTATTTTTCTTATATGTTTGAACTTTAAATCATTTGTGATATTTAAATTTGTGGAACATTTTGACTATATATGTATTTATTTTTATGATTATCTTAAGTTGACATGCATTGAAATATTAATTTATTTTAAATGCAGTTTTTTTTTATTGGGAATAGATTTTTCAAAAGAAATTTACTATATTCCATTAATATTAAAAAAATGGAAAATAAACTCTTAAAATTCCATAAATTAAGTAATAATATATTTGAAAAAATAATAAATAAAATAAAATATAAAAAAAATATTAGAAAATGGGTTGAAAATGTTAGTCATCCATTTCAAATAGTAATCATTTTAGTAAATACATTAAATAAAAGAAAAATCAATTTTCAGGCATTTTCATGTCTCTTTGCTTTTTATACGCTCTGGCTCTCCTCTCTCTCTCTCTCTCTCTCTCTCTCTCTCTCTCCCTCCTAATTTCTTTAGCTTCTTCTCTATCTCTGAACCGATCTGCCAATCACTGAATTAAAATTTGTTTTGGGTGCAAGTTCGTGTTCTTCCCTTTTTTCTTCTTCTTCTTCCT